ACCTGTACATACATAGATAAATACATAAATACATACATACATACATACATACATACATACATACATACATACATACATACATACATACCGGGGCCAATCCAGGACATTCATATACCGTGTAGTCTCCACTTTCACTCTCTGATTCTGTAGGGTTCTGCTCCATTGTTTTGGAGGATTGTCTCCTGGGGAGAAGGACACAAGATAAAGTGGTGGGATGTTAAGAGAGATAGCTTCAACAGATAGACCAGTCCGTTTGACAAGAAGGCTGAAGCTCTTTTTATCGAGATCAGCCACAACAACAGAATCTTGCAAGTCTGATTGGGATGAAACACCTCCTGCTTCTTATACTCCAGTGAATAAGGTTGTGTTTGTGTATGTCTGACTGGGCCGCTTCCAAATGTCGTCTTGTTCTGGATTTAAAAGTGTTTAAAGAGTAACAGAGTTGGAAGGGACCTTGGAGGTCTTCTAAACCCCCTGCTTAGGCAGGGAACCATACACCATTTCAGACAAATGGATATCCAACATCTTCTTAAGAACATCCAGTATTGGAGCATTCACAACTTCTGGAGGCAAGTTGTTCCACTGATTAATTGTTGTAACTCTCAGGAAATTTCTTCTTAGTTCTAGGTTGCTTCTCTCGACATCCCTGGGACCCCAGCCCCTGACCCATAGCAAAGATCAAGCGGGCGGCCTGCTTACCTTTGGTGAGCCTAGCAGAATGGGTGAGGTGTGGAGGTGAGTGGCGAGGCAATTAGCTGGGTCGCGTGGCAAAGGCAACATATATAGGGCGGGATGAGTGTCGAGCGGGTGTGGTGAGCGAGCATCGAGCGGGCAAGTGAGCTTCGAGCAGGTGGGCGGGGCGAGCGAGCAGCGACTGGCCAGGGGGCAGGGCCAACCAGAGGAATCTACCCGTTTGGCAAACCAGGTCAAATTTCTCCTACCGAACTGGTGCAAACTGGCTGAATACCATCTCTGATTTCCTCCCACCTCCAGTGAAAGTTCTAGAGAAGAATACTTACTCCTCGCCAGTAAGAAGTTTCTTCCGATGCTGATAGTGATGAACTTGACAAGACTGTGCTAGCCTGGAATCCATATACTAAGAAAGATGAACAGATGATGATTAAGGAGAGCCTCATGAGGTCAGGAAAATCATCTAGTCAAGAGTCCTCTACCAACCCAATGTCTCTTCTGAAAGCCCATAAGCAAGACAGTTATGATGATGGAAGGTTGCCCGGATTCCCAGGAGGGAGTGCATTCCAAAGTAGCAATCAATAGACAATGCAATTTAAATACCCTATTTTTCAGAGTATAAGACGCACCCTTTTCCCTCAAAAAAGAGACTGAAAACCTGGGCGCGTCATATACACCGAATACAGCATTTTTTTTGTCTCCTGAAACCCCGACCCTTCACCAAAATGGCTGTGCAGAGCCTTTACGAGGCTTTCAGAGTGCTCCTGGGGGCTGGGGAGGCATAAATGAGCAAAATAACAGGCCATTTTTTTGCTTAATTTTGCCCCCTCAGCCCCCAGGAGCACTCTACAAGCTTCCTAAAGGTTATAGATGCCTTTTTTTGGACAGAAAACATTTTTGCAAAAAAATGGGCCATTTTTTGCTCATTTTTGCCCCCCCCCCAACTCCCCAAGAGCACTCTACAAGCCTCCTAAAGGCTATTCATGCTCTTTTTTGGGGGGAAAAACAGGCCCGTTTTCATGAAAAACGGGCCGTTTTTGGGAGGTCTGCAGAGTGCAAACCCCTTTTTTAAAAATTTGCGTCTTCAACATCTTGGTGCGTCTTATACTCCGGTGCATTTTATACTCAGAAAAATATGCTAATCTGTGACGGAGAAAAGGGGTGAAAACAGCTGCTCCTTAACAGTTCCCAGAATATATGGCTTGGGAGTGCAAAATAGCCTGTTTTAGTTTGGCAAGATTCTGTCTATGGGCGAGGAACAATAAAGAAAAATGCTTAGAAGAGCTTTAATATGTCTTTCCTGATTTTTGGAGCCCTGTAAGCAATGACGCCAATTCAACCTAACTCTGATCTCTGGGACATTATCCAACTATCATCATGATCAGGGGGTCTCCAACCTTGGCAACTTTACGACCTTTGGACTCCAACTCCCAGAATTCCTCAGCCAGTGCTGGCTGGGGAATTCTGGGAATTGAAGTCCACAAGTCGTAAAGTTGTCAAGGTTGGAGACCCCTGATTAAGACTACTAGAATATCCTCTGGAAACTCTGACTTTGGGTTTTACCAATTAGATAGATTTGTTGTTACAGAAATGGCTAGTTTCTATTATTCTCAAAAAGTAAAAAATTGAGGGTAGATCTTAATAACGTATTTTACTGCACCAAAGGAGTCAGCAGTCAGTGCCTTCTTTTTTTCTTTTCCCCTTGCTTTCCCCCATTATCCACTCCCCGTTTTCCTTTCCCAATTTTCCTAATATTTGCTTTTGTATTTTTTTGTATGTCATATTATAAATTAATAAAACTATAAGGAAGCAATGACTACCAGAATATCCTAGAACTGTGACGGCGAATGTATGACATGTGTGCCACAGATGGAACACGGAGCCATATCTGCCCACATGGGAGCCGTCAGCTCCGATGCGCATGCGTGCACCAGCCAGCTGATTTTTGGCCTTCCGGAGGGTCGGGAGAGGCCGTTTTCACCCTCCCCAGGCTTCAGGAAAACCTCCAGAGCCTGGGGAGAATGAAAACTCCCCCCTCCCCATGTGTGAGGGGGGGACATTGCACTCATGTGCGGGGGGTTGCGCACACCTGTGCAGGTGGGCGGGTTGCATTGAATTGTGGCTGTGGGGACGTGCATGTGCACAATAGTGCATGCATACAATTTTGGCACGCCTTTCGAAGAAGGTTCCCCATCACTGCCCTAGAATATCCTGCTTCCCCCCCCCACCCGCCCCCTCCTCATCTCCATTCCATTGAACACAATCTACTAAGCCCCATTTGGTTGGGTTCGTACGATACAACGTGAACTATGATTTCCAAGCCATAAAGGCTGGCTGCACAGAACATACTACAGTTTAACCTGTCCTATAAGCAAGGTCTTTCCTTCATCTTTCATTGACAAATTCCATTTTGCAAAGCCAACGTACTGCGCTGGGTTGATGGTATCGGTACTGGTTCCCCCGAGTTTCGGTGTATGCCATCTTTTGAGCCAAACGTACTTCTTTCTGAAGCCTGCAAATGAATCATAGATGTTTTCAGTGGAATGCAGCAGCAGCAGCAGCAAAAAGTATGAATACCTCCAACGCATTGTTCTCTTTTTCCTGATTCATAGATCATTAAATCTGCAGCCCTCAGTCCACCCTCAGCAACGGGAAAAATAAGGAATAAAGGAAGTTACCGAGCATGGGCAGAGTTTCTCTCCTCTCAAACACGAAAATAATGATCCTTATAATAACGGAGAAACGATGTATGAAAAAGGGGGACGATCAGATTCATACCTGTACCAGCATATGGCTGCAACCACCAATCCAGAAACTCCTGTCACTGTGCACATAACCACAAGTGCTGAAAGGAACACAATGAATTCTGAGTGTTGGACAACAAAATACTGCTTTGCTAGCTATGCAAACACAAACACAAACATTTCACTATTCAGCTCTTCTCCTCATTCTTGCCCCATCTTTTCTGCTTCCTTCAAGAAGACTAAACTAAGGAGAGATTTAAAAATCCGGGGTGCTTAACAATATATAACTATGTAAAATCAGTATGAGTTTAGCGGGAAACTTGAATCTGGATCACGCTTTGTCCAAAAAATAGGCTTTGGTGTGTGTGTGTGTGTGTGTGTGTGTGTGTGTGTGTGTGAGAGAGAGAGAGAGAGAGAGAGAGAGAGAGAGAGAGAGAGAGAGAGAGAGAGAGAGAGAGAG